TGGAGGTTGCTGTGAGCTGTAATGCCACGGCACTCTACCCAGGGGGACAGCTTGAGGCTCTGTCTCAAAAAAATAAATAAATAAATAAATAAATAAATAAAATAAAATAAAATTTGAATATTAGAATGTAATAAACAGCCGTATTGTTTTTACAGAAAACTTATGAGCTTAATCTTAGCTAATTATGTTTGATGAAAAAGAAACTAGATGTTTATGAATTCAGAATGTTTTTCCAGTTCTTCAGATAATTAAAATGCTATCAAATATTTTAGATTTACCCTGTGGAAAAACTTATACCATTACTTCTCCAGAAACAATGCATTTAAGATACTTTAAAAAACAATTTTACATCATTTACATGTAACTTAAATGAAAAGTAAATTTATTACATCAGTAGCCAAGGTAAAATCAAAGAAATAATTCTAGTTCCTTGAGAACAGTTTCACTGTTAAGCCTTCAGGTACTTCTTCTATTAAGAATTATGGTATATAAAAGATAGGCAGACTTTGGGAAAAGGGGGGAAAAGGAAACAGCTCAAATTGTGCAATAATACAAAGAAAGACAACAATTTTAAAAATATTAAATAGTGGCTATTAATGCAAAAAATTGGCATTTTCCAAATGACAGTCAAAGATAAGTATGGATATGAAACACATCTTAACCAAATTAAATTAAAAGGGAATAGTGCTCATTGCAATAACTTGTTTATTAAATTTAAAAGGCAAAAAATAGACATTCTACAAAAGAAATATTAAGATCGTTGATGAGGATTATAGTGGTAAAAAGCTGAGATACAGAACATGAGAACATCCTTGAAATAAAACTGATGTTCTTTCAGTTTGCATGATGAATCAGTGCCTGGGCATTGCCTATAGCAGGACCAGGCACAGAGCAAGGAGAGCCATTATTATTACAACACAGGGGGTGTGATGGAAAAAGAAGTGTAGGGGATAGTTCAAATAGCCATAAGAGGATATTTAGCACCATGCTATAAATCCACATCTATACCTTATATCTTCCCTACATTTCGGGAAGAGGGTCATCAGGTATTTCTCTTCCACCAAAAGATTATGAAAAGCACTTTATGATTTCCAAGGCTGAAAGGTCAATATACCAGATCCTATGGAAACTATGTAGTATTATGTATTATATTATGAAAGGAAAATAATGCAATGAGGCCGTTTTACTTCCGAGACATTAAAAAAGATTTTTTTTTTTTGTATTATGATAGACAAATACACTTTTCAAAATATTGTCAGGAAGAAGAAGTTGTTTTAGGCAACATAAAACCACCTTAAAACATAGGAAAGTCAGTTACATCCAGGGGAAAGCTAAGGCAAAGACTGACTAACACCCTGCAAGGAAGACAGAATCAAAGAGCTCGAACTCTAGGACTCCGAGATCCCACTGCAAATGCCACTAATCCAGAAAGACTGAGAATCAATGTTTAAACTATCTTTGCAAAAGAAGCATGTCCCCTAGTGCATTAAGCATTAA